ATAACTGGGACTGCACTATGGATACTTTAGAATTAGGGGCAGATTCATCTGTGTGCCCAACCACAACAAATTTAAATGATCTTGAAAGGTAACCTTAAAAATAGAAAAAAATTCACAAGAGGTAAAATAGAAAACAGTTCTCAAAAGGTAAAATTCAAACTGGGAAGACAACAATGGTAGAAAAGAGGAGAAATCCCACTTCTGTTTTAGCTCTGTGGTAATGGGGCTTCAGTGGGGAGCTCGGTGCTCAGAACACCTCAAAGTGGAGGCTCCAACACCCCATACCCTAGGGATTTGGGTGCTGGCCAAGAGATGAGTAGAACATAAATATAGTGCATACAATAGTGAAGAAATCTTTTAATACCTTACCTACTTTCAAATTTACAAAGAATTTACAAATTTCCTTGGTCCTCACTATAACACTAAAGAGTGAGGATCATGATTTCACTTTACAAATGAGGTTGAAGACTTAAGGTACTGTCCAAGATGCCCCAACTGCTCAGCTAAGAACCGAAATCACCTAAAGTGTCCCCTGTCCTAGAGTCTTTTCCCCACACCTGACAGAGTTTGTTCTTAAAAATGTTTCCCAAATGTCCAGGTCAAAGCTTTGATGTAAATGGTCCTTCCCTTGTAAGGGTAGGGAGAAACTGGGAGTGCATTTCAGAATCAGGATGTGTATTGGAGATCCCCTGTCTCACTGCCCCCCTAGCGTGGGTGCAGCCCACTCTGAGGATCAGCCATTCAGCTCTACACACTTGTGTTTCCAGACACAGACAGAGCCATAGCAAAGCCATAGAGGGCACACGTGGGGCGAGAGACTGCCCGGGGACCCACAATAAATAAACTTAGTAAAAGCAGTTGCTATGTAGACACAACTTTAAGACACATTCTCTCAAGCCATGTCCTCCCCTCACATCATGGTGACTTCTGAAAGCTTTCTGCTTTGGAAGCCTAGAGCATCCATGATTACTGAACAGGGGAAGGGGAGATCTGTCTTCCTCTAAGAGCTCTTTCCTGAGCTAATGCATAGAGTCTGTAGTAACCAAGCATGAGCACCTGGCCTATTCAATTGAACCAAGATATTTGCCTGTGAAAGCTACCCTCACCACCCCGGCCCTTACTGGGTTCCTTGCGCTGCCCATGGAGCTCCTGCTGACATAATAAACAGAGCAGCCCTATTAAATCTCACCATTCCTACATAGCAGAATGTGAGCTTACACTGTTCTGGTTTCCTTCCTCCTCCTAAGAAAGCCAAGGTCAAGCAAACTTGTGAGATAACCTTGAAAGGATCACAGACACTCTCCTCAGAAAACGGTGCTGTAGAGACATGAGGGGGTGCAGTGTTTCATTTTAATTGAGCACAGGAGTTATAAGCAATGAGTCACTAGTCTGTATGGAAAGATTTGTTGAAGAGTGATTTTTACAGTTTACAGTTCCCCAAGGTGTGGTTTCTACAAGGAAAAAAATGTTGGGGTGGGAGGAGTTCACAGCATGTGCACAAATGCTCTGGAGTTTTACAAAACGGACGAGAGAAGTTAGTTCTCTCTGACCCTAGTCTGGCTATCTGAGCTGGAACAGTAAGACAGGAAAATAGCAATAGATCCCCCATTAGCAAAGAGGTGCCACAGGGGAAAGGAGGGATGGTAACCTCCTGAGGAGTCCACCTCCCACTGCAACGGTTATCCCTCTCATATCCCACCACTCCCCTAAGGATCTTCCATGGCTCCCCATTTCCTAAGGATAAAGCCCAAATTCTACAGCAAACCTTTCCAGATCCTGCACCATCTGGCCATCACCACATTCACCACTTCATCGCTGGCTACTCCCCGCTCTGTCCCACCCCATCATTTACCCCGTGCTAATGTGCTGTATCTTTTGCTGTTTTGTAGTTCATGAGCTATACTTTTCATCCCCTGCCTGGGGAAAACCCTGGCTTATTTTTCAAAGCCAAGATCAAATGTCACCATGGCATCACCTCGTACAGAAAATATTAATCCCACTCTCCTCAGTGTCTCCAATCACATCTATAGTCTCGTTTGCCACTTCTGCCCCTAAATTTTAGGTTTTTTACCTAAGTTGTCTAGGAACAGGAACTATGGAGTGATCTAGAGTTGGGCTCATTGTATGATGGCATGAATAGGGCAGCCCAAGGCCAAACCCTTGGTGGACTGGGTTTCTCTTCTTCCTCTAGCCTTGCTTCTCTGAAACCCATCCTTCCATCCATGAAGGGATCTGCCACTTGTCAGTCGTGTTTGCTTAGCCTCTGACCAGAAATGACTCTCTTGTCTCCTTTTCATGCTATTCACCAAATTATATTTATATCATAAGATGAATATTGCATCTGCAGATGGATTGTGTGGTTTCTGCAAATCTCCTGGAAATATTCACCCAAATTGCCGGCTTGTCCCTCAGGCTTTCATTAAGATCCTTGAGTAGACTACACACACCAAAGAGCTGAAATCCAATAAGCTAAAGGAATGAAGCTTTAGAGGGAACTTGAGAGAGGCAGGGAGCACACCAGTAGCAAGACCTAGGGACTCTGTCAAACATGGCACCTGCTTTGTTTGCAGCTGAAGGACACTGGTCTTCTCAATAGTGGCTTATAATGTGTCCTGAGAACAAAGCAGTCGAAGGTCAGAAAAGGGTGCACCTCTGTGTACTCACCCCTCCAAGACGGGCATCTTCTTCTACCTAAGGTAGAGCAGTGGAAGCCCCTGCCCCTCAGCTTCCTCAGTAGCATCACTCCACCTGTCCTCTGTCTGCCGATGTGCTCACACTTTCTTACAATGAAGGCTTCTCAGACACGTGAAGACCACTGTGGAACCTTCATGTGACTCCTCCCTTTTCTGGGTTTCTGTCCACATTTCTCAACATGTGGTTTCCATCAATCTGGATATTCTACATGCAGCTTCCTCTCAAAATGTGGTAGCCCACTGTGGTCCAGTAGTTGTCCTGAAGGTTATTCTGCACACACAACCCAAGAAGGGCTTGGAGTTCTTAGAGCTCAGTGTTGCCCCAAATTCCAGGATCATTTTCTACATGTTGATAATAATTCCATTTAGTTTCAACTTCAGAGTGTTTGGTAACAGCTTTTTCATCATTTGTTTTATCTTCCCAAAAGAGTGTCACCCAAGGGACATGGGTTAGACTCAGTGTAGATGGAGGAGGCAGAGGAAGGCTCAATCTAAGTAATTCTTGGCACACACATCTGTGGCTTATATTTTTAGCTGCAACTTGCCAATGGCCTCCGCCTTCTGAGCCAGCTTGTAAAATGGATTGTAAATTCCTAAAGGGCTGAAAGCTTCCAGTCTTAATCTATTTGCATCCCAGCTTTAAATGTTCATCCCAGCATTAAATGCTTATATCACAATCATCACTGTGTCTGACTTCAATCTCTCAATGTCACTTGAATCCTTTTGCCTCTCATCACTTCTACTGCCACCGCCCCCTGCTCCCAACTTCATCTCCCCCAGCTCTGCTGGGTTCCCTGCTGACCCTCCTTTTATTTCATAGCCACTGTGCAGCTTTAAAGATTCATACTTTAAAGATCATATTGCTCCCCTCCTTAAAACCTGCATAATGTAAAGGATTTACCCAGTTTTTCTATACCAGACTCACTGCTTGCAGAGTAGTCCCTGTGCCTCACAAGCACATGCATTAAAGTAAAGCATTAAGTGATAGCTGAGGAGTGGCCTATTAAAAAGCAGAGCCTCGCCATCCTGGGTCACCTGTACTGAGAAGCCTTTCTAGGTAGCCCCAGGTAGAAATGACCTCTCATGTCTTTGTGTCCCAGTCTGCTTTGAAAAGACACTTCAGGTGACACCTGTTCATTTTTTGCAATTTTTTAGCATGATTCTCACCCTCTTTTAGAATTGAAGCCCCTTGTGGTCAGGCTGGTGTGGTATCTTTAGACAAATCCTGAACAACTGCCTGAGCATAAGCCTCCCTAACCAACCAAATAAATGAAGGACTCATGACTCCAGTAACTCACCAAGGAGACTAAATTGAATGCTGTTTTCTCCATCAATTGGTGCTGACATGTTGAAGTTCTTAAGGGCCTTCAACGTGGAGGGACTGCCACTGCTACACGGACCCTCCCTGTGCCTAACTAAAGGTTCTCTCTCATATGAGCAAGAGAGCCTGTCTGAAGGGACAATTTGCAGGCCTGCAACTCAGCCATGTGGGACTTCAATGCTGTTCCTAAAATACCATACTGCCCCTACCTACCCCTGAAAGCAGAAGCCACTTCTAGAAAAATAAACCCAGCCCTAGTCTGTTCCTAGCAGTGTTCTGAAGAACTCTGACCTGTGTTCATCAGCCATTCTCGGTCATCCATCTTTGTACACCCTTCAACATCCTCCCCTCTATGGGGGCACCTCACCGATGCCCACTCTGCCTCCACGCTTATCTGGAGACCAAGTCTGTCTCTTGCTCTTGGATGAGTGGTGAGGGAGAAGAGGTCAGGGCTGAGAGCACATCACAAAGGGAAGATTAGGATGTGGACTACACTCTCTATTGCAATGTATCCAAGACCTTGAAATGCACATGAAGACCTTGAAATGCACATGAATTACCTGTGGGTCTTGTCCAAATGCAAGACTGAGCAGGATTGAAAAGGACCCAATTTTCTCTTTTTCTAACTAGTTCCTATGATATGTTGAAACCACTGGTCCAGAGACCACATTTGATAGCAACTATCCCAATAAAAGATGGCAGTACCGCCAAGCCACTTGTGAGAAAAACAGCAAGTCACTATGCTGGTAATTTTCTTAACACTTGAGATGGACAGTTAGAAAATAGATGTGTGATCTTGAGTAAATACTATTTTAAAGGCATATTGACAGCCTGACATAAAAGGTCTTATGAACTTACACTTAACATATAACCCTATACTTTAATTTCCCCACATTGATGAATGCTTGTGATATCATTTAGAACAAAAACATTATGGAAATGCCGATCATAACCTGTGGCATTTTTCTTGTCTTTTTTCTTTGTAGGAGATGTCAGTGAAAAAAAGGGTCCAGAATGATTACTAACCTATGACTCCCAACAGTATGACAGGTATCAGTATACTTTTTTAATTTTCTTTGTGTGTCTCGAGTTTTGTTCCACTTAAAGAGAAATACAGGGTTCCTAAAAGAGGTGAGAATCTTAACAATTATTTCCAAACCAACAAGTGTCATTTATTTCAAATACATCTGTGAATACATCCCTGAAAATGTTCCTGACTTCAGAAACTCTGAGATGCATCATCATCACAAATATGACACAGAGAAAATGACTATTTCAGTGAAAGGCTAGTTTTTAGCCATCCTAAGATCACCTTTGAAGCTGTTTACATTATTTACATGCAACAATGTAATAAACAATTCTGCATATTTAGAGACCATCAAGTAAAGCTATTTTCTCAAAAATGGGCTGTCTAGTCCATTCGGCAATATAGTCAAATCACAAAAGGTAAAATGAGCTGGAGAAACTCTTAGCAAGAGACAAAGGGGAGACAGAATGACCCCTGAGGAATGACCCCTGAGGACCCCTGAGGAATTTGCATTAACACAAATTCCTCCTACAACTCACAGGACAGTGGTTGCAAAGCAGATTGGGAGTAAGGAAAAGCAATATACAAAACTGGAGAACTCAGGTTCTCTCTAAAGAAAAGAAACCATTCCTCCACTCTAAGTAATCACTGACAAAATTTGAATATACAAGGGAAGTTGGAAATCCAGATTTAAAGTGAAATGCCCACATTTGTAAATGTTAGCATTTACTTTGATATTCCTGATAACTTACAGGAAATCTAAAGTCCAAGGACTAGTGAAAATATCTCTGCTGACCGTAATCAACCCATGACTGTCAGTTGACAACTTCATCCCTCTTACCTTGCAGCCAAGCACCAGGCACACTGACCTTTAATAAGCCATTAGCAACCTCCTTACCTAGTGACAAACTAAATGTATAGGACAAGAACCCTTTTCCTAGTAGATCTAAGAAACTGAAGCAACTGAATGTTGCCTCTCATCTTTCTGGAATGTTTTGAACTTTCCTGTAACTGTAACATTACATCTCCCAGAATCACTGTCCTGCCAGTCTACCCACCTGCGCTTGGCCCCTCATGCAGCAAATCCAGAAAGGGCAAACCAGAGTGAATCTCACCTGTAAGAAGTTAGGGTTTCAGAATTACATCTCATCTTCTCCTCATCTCACTCACTTAAAGGCCCCACTCCCATTGCTGTTTCACTGTGACCTCAGCCAGAACTCCTCCCCATGTAACTCTGACTCCTACAGCATAAAACTGCCCATTCTGTGGGAAATTGGGACAGCTATTGCCTCCATGTTTATGGGTGGGAATCTCAACCAGAGGTGTGATGGCATATCTTTGCAGCTGCAGGTGTGTGTGAGCACACAGATGTCAGACAGCATGTATCCATGCTGCACAAGTGTCATTCTCTGATGAAGGATAATGTGGGAGCTCACACTGTAGGGTCTCACTCTATACTCCAGGATAATTTACACACTTGAAAACATCCCCCCAAAGATAGAATCTCAAAGAACATATCCTCCTGAGTCATATGAAAATGCAAAACTTGGGATGACAGTGGGAATATTTTGGGTTTTGCTTGTTATAAGTTTGGTTCTAGATAGAACATAGAAGTGACCATCCATGCCAGGTTTCTATAGAGCAGGGTCAACCACTTCTTTTTTTTGTAAAGGACCAGTAAAATATCTGCCTTTGTGAACTGCTCAGCTGGCCACTGTAATAGAGTCCAAGGTTCCAAACCATCTTGCTGTTGAGAAGAGTCTGCAAGGCCTAGTTGGCTCAGCTTCAGGGCTGAGCCTAGGCTCTTGGCTCAATCCAGGGCAGTTCTAGACTGACTCAGCCCAGCCCTCAGCCCATCCTGTGGAAGCCCAGAGGGTACCTTGCAGAATGTGCTGGGACCACAGGTGGCTTCCAGTGGAAGACAGGTTTTGCTTCCTAGCATTTGCTTCATAATGGAGAAACTAATACTAATTCTGTTTTCAAAAGAAATCTACTCCATACTCACATGTGCTCAGTGCATATTAATAGGTTCAGCTGAGAAAATCATTACTTTAGATTCCCTTATTTGTGGATGAAATAAGACAGTCTCCCTTTTCCCTCTCTCTTTTGCCATTATCTAGAGCTCCATGTTTATTTTAAGAAATCTAAAGAGAGACCATAATATACTTATAAGCCATCAAAGCCAAGTGCTTGCTTTAGGAGCATAATTTAAAGAGCAAATGTGCATATTTTCTTCTTTGAAAAACATAATAAGAAATATTACTGTTATGCAATACAGGAAATCAATTAAGCTTTATCAAAAGAAAGCCATTTTTTTTAATGAACAGGAGTAAGAACATTGAATCTATTTTCCTAAAGCCGACCAGACCAGTGCTTTCAAATTAAAGAGTCACGTGGTTGGTATGCAGGCTCCTTCAGCCACCATGCTTATTAAATTTACATATTTTGCATTAACCCAAATGGAAAATTGTTATTTTCTGAAGTTATTTAATATCAGCTGCAGTGGATTCAGGTCTTGCCAAGATGTCCTCATTGCTTTACTTCACCTAATTGGATATTAAGACTATATGAAATCACTCATTGAAAAATACAGAGCCTTAAGAAGGGAAAGTATGAAAGTGACTTAATAATGATATTTTATTAGACTGGAATTAAACACTGCTTCCTAACTAATCTGAGGGGAATTCTGCTAATGTTTATGGCATTCTAATGAGCTCTGTTTTGCATGAAACTATGATTCACATCATAGGGGAGTTTGTTCTAAGATATGAATACCTAGAAGCGTAAATACCAGGTTAGGGGCTTTGGGCCTCAACTGAGAAGGAATCTAAAGATTCAGATCCCCCTAATGTGCCTGACCCATGGTAGTACTAAACCTGGGTTGGCCACATTAGTGGATGACATAGGACATAGTCAGCAAAGATGTTTTCATAGAATTTGGGCCCCATCCTTTGAAACCACACTGTTATGAGTTGATCCATGTGAATAACATACTCCTCATTTGGTTATTTAACCTGCATCTCTTCTTTGTGACACACTTGTTCACTTAACTTCCTATTGTGAGCGTTTTTCTTTCTCCGGGCATTATTATTGTCTCCTAGAGCCTAGGGAAGGGATGTTTGCAAGGATATGACAGGAGATTTCAGTAGCTGCCCCACTGTTTGCACTCACAGATCATCAGTTTGCATTAGTTCCTAATGAATATGTGGTTTCTGCCCTTGCTGTTTACGTGACCCAAGAGTTAGTTTTATGTGCCACCACCACCTGCCAGTGCTCACCCCCAACCAAAAAGTTCCAGGCTCATGTCTTACCTGTCTTGGCATGTGCATTTCCTTTTAAGTCTCAGAATGTAAGGTTTACATAAGTCATTCCACACAAGGTGTGGCACATCAGGACACAACAGAGACAACCACTTTGAGGGGTACCTAGCACATAGTAGGCCCTCACTGACTTCATTGTGAGAAAACAGCCCTAGAATTACTGAACAATAGTGGGGAAAATAAACAGAAATAAATGAGTGTGTGATGTTTTTTGGGAGTCTGATTTCAGGTGAGCTTTAATTCTTACAGTAGAGGTTAGCTGTTTCCACAATTCATGTTTTCTCTTTAATGTTACCTTCAGAGTTAGCACCCTATTTAGGATTCCCTAAAGAATTTTTTGTATAGTTTAAGGCCTTTTGTTTTTCTAAAATGTAGGAGACAAGAAATATCTTTGTTATTTTTTATTATTTTAGGGAAAGATAGCTTGAGTGTAGTAATCCACACATAATATTAAAAGGCAAATTCATGCAAAAGGAAATAGATACTTGTTTTAGATTTTATTGAAGTTACACTGGCTTAAAGAATTATGTAGGTTTAAAAATATATAATATGAAATATATGCCTTAAAAATGTATATAGAGGGCCCTCCCTGGTGGCACGGCGGTAAAGCATAGCACTAAGAAGCCAAAGCCACTTTAGCATGAGTTCAATCCCCACCCTGCTCCTGAGGGCATCACATGTCGTGGCAGACCTCTCCTGACCAACCCGCTGCTCCCCTCAGCAGTGTACTTCGTCAGTCGGCCTGTTCTGCTCCCCACTGTCTCTGGTAAATCCTCTCACTGCCCCTGCACCTCTGGCCTGTACCCCAGTTCTATATGCATAAATAAATAAACCTTTAAAAAAACCTGGCTAAAAAAGTATATAGCACTAAAAACAGCATCTGTATATACTCCATTATCCTAACCACCAAAAAAGGCTAGTTTCCATCCTTCACCATTCAACTAATCCTTTTTACCCAAATTACCCACCTCAAACCTCCTACCTTTCTGTTCACTGCATTTGTTCTTATAATCTAAGATTTTGATATTGTTTGTTTTGTTTCTTTCTCTTCCTATTATAAATGAGATTATAGAGAATTTATCTTTCTCAGGGTAGATAATTTTTAATATAATCTCTTCCTTTTTGCAATCCCTGATAAAATAAACATATTAAAACATTTGCTGGTATTCATATCACTTAATTTTTTTATATAACAGATTTTTTTAAAGATTTATTTATGTATACATACAGAGCTGGGGTACAGGCCAGAGGTGTAGGGGCAGTGAGAAGCTTCACCAGAGACAGAGTGGGGAGCAAAACAGGCAGATCCACAGGTACACTGCTGAGGGGGGCAGCGGGTGGGTCAGGAGAGGTCTGCCACGCCATGTGGACACCTCTGGGGCTGGGGATCAAACTCACACTGAGGCCTCTGAGACTAGCTTGCAGTGCTGCATCCTAACCTGTTGTGCCACCAGGGAAGGACCCATATTACTTCAATTGTAATAAGCATAAGTTCCTATTCCAGTCAAGCAGGGCCTTCTAGATGCCCACATTGATCAGCATGCTGGACACAAAGCCATGTAACCACCAGGTAGAAAGTGGTAGCAGTAAAAGGGAGGGAGGAGAAGAAACAACTCTCTACTGCTACCAATAAGAATTTTTTAAAAAATCTCTAGCTTCCCATAACTATCTTCTTTCTAATTGTACAATATCAAATTGTACTT